AGTCGCTTGTCAGCACTTAACCTGCCATTGCCCTCAAATTTAAGCATTCTTCCAGGGAAAATTTTCCTTTGTCCCTATTAACTCCTGCACTAGAGCCCAATGCTAGTAACTGTTTTTCTTTGCCGTTTATTTCCGTTCCTCCCTAAAAATAGTGGTACTGAAGGTCTAATGTCAACGCTGTACTAAGAGCTGCATTTACTTAACTGCTCTTCTGCTAGTGATGCGTCAGTTTAAGAGCGGTAAACCGTCTTTTCTGATAAATTTATAAGGCCATTTTTTCATGCTATAAAAGCCCTTCCAATCGCCTAGCAAGCTAACTTCCACAGAATGGCTTACGGTGTTGAATCTTGACATTCTTTCGTCGACTTTCTCCCGGGGGTGGCTCATTTCGGTTGGTATCTATCTGCGACCGATCGCAAAAGGTGGTTTCATAGACGGATCGTTCTATTTTTAAGCGAGAATTCGTTTTCCGTGATTGTACGGGAAAAAACTGCGAATACACACACGCATTTTATGTGATGACTTACTGTCGGTGACATTATTCCGGAACTATAACTTCCGTTAGGAGGGAGTAATTTGGTCATATTGAAATCTACAGTCAGTGGACGATAGAAGCATCATTTTCTGTACCCATTCAATAGTAAATCAAGCTATTTTCTTTTTTTGAAAATGTAATCTTTCGGTTATGAAATGCTTTTCACTGCCCGAATAATTTTCAGCTTGCTTTGCCGTGACATTTTCATTTGGTGTTTCCATTTAAAAAGCTGTATCTTTTCTATGCTAACAAAATAGCAAATTCTTCAATGACATCAAGGAAATAACATGTAGGTCAAAAAAGCTATCACACCATCTTAAAAAAGTGCCATAATGAGACACTTTTTAAAGCGGAATTTTATCATTTTTTCGAACAAAAATGGAGCAAACGTGATTGGCTACCAAATTACTACAAAATATATTTTTTTGCAATTTTCTTCTCCAAAACTCATGTGAAGTTATATGTCCATCGTAAATAATTATGCAGAATGTATGTTACGTGTACAATCCTTTTTTTACTGAGTCCGGTTGTTGCAGTCGACCGCAAGTCGGTGCATTCCAAAACCGACATCTTAGTTTTGCTGAAATAATGTTGCATTATACTCTACGATAGTGAATACTCCCACCCCAGTTAAAAAATCCTTCCTAAATGACAGCACATGTTAGAATTTCGGTTCTCAGCTCATGAGACTGGTTTGTGCTTCCAAGGTATGTTTCTTAAGCCAGGATACCGTCTTTTGAGGGCTAATCTCTCCACTCACTTACGAAAATCGCCCTCATAAATCCAAACGTATTTCTTAGATAACCTATATAAAGACGACCTTTTGTATTAACTTTCGAGCTACTTTTATCGTGTCATAAAGAATGAATTCCTGAGTCAATTATTTACGTCATTGTCTTGAAGCAACAACCAGAAAAACGAAAAATATTTCCAGCTGCTGGCCTTTCCCGTAAAATGTTAACAGACGTTTTAGTGTCTGGTGCTGGCCTCCAGCAGTTTCTGCTACGTCTTATTGCTTGCTGGCTTACGTCATTAGCCGCGTGCACGCGAGGTTGTGGCCTTCCTCCTGGCTGTGATTAGCCCCCTGAGACGGTGCGTCGCCTCTCCGAACTGCGCGTTTTTACTCCATTGTTCGCCAAATTAACCGCTTTTAAAAGCACATCTTATGCTAATAAAGCGATGGCACAGTAACCTGACCTGCAAACTACGGCTTAGTGACTGTGTCTTTTCTTCCTGCTTCAGATGCCACTTTTATTTAATCATTATGCCAGTGTTAACCTCTACTCTCGTGTCTTTTACTCTTGAATCAAGTCCGCTCACAAACTAACGTAGCCATATCATAGCACCTAGGAAGGCGGAAAGTCAGAAGGGATCTTGATGTGGATACATTTCACCGATGTTTCCATCCTGTCATGAGCCGTTTAGAAAAGTACCCACTTTATCGCTTTTTGGTCGGTAGACCAAAAATTGTCAGAAAAATGTCCGTCAAACGTGGAATTTTGAAATACGCAGAATAAAATTGTATATTTATATGCGTATATGCATAATATATATGGAGTGC